ATATAGCTTCATGTATATGCAGTCAGATTCAGGAGAGTACGTGAAAGCTATCTATAATTGTTATTTAGCACTTAATATAATTCCTGGTCATACGTGAATAAGAAAATGTATTGGAATCCTATTCCAATAGTGAAACTTTTGGAATTTTGACTACAAAATAACACATCTACAAATCATAAACCAACTTTGCTAAAGTTAATGGAAATAAAACAAAAATTACCGTTTCAGTGTAAGATCAATATATTTTCAGTCAAAAAAATTCAGCTATTATATTTTAAAATGTTACTTTATTTCAAATTTAAATAAACTTAAATACAATGTAAAACACAAAATTATAAAACAATAAGCTTAATTTATTTTTAATATATAAAACGTACGTAGTAGCAGTATCTTTTATTTTGCTAAACACAATTTGAGAAAACTAATTCAAAATTTCATGACAAATAATCTACAGTTCAGTACATCAACTCGAGATAAACCTTCCATCTACGGTTGAGAAGAATTATCATAAAGAAAAGAAAAATTTGTCGCGGAACATCTTACCAGCTAACTATATATAGAGTCCTTTGTCATATCCTTGAGTGTTCTTAATAATATAAACATCTTCCTTTGTGTTAGAAATTATATGTGTCTATAACTAAACATTTTATCGATATAAATTTGATCCTAAACACCTATTTTGTGATTGTAATTTGTACATACTATCATTCATATCTTTCACTAAACACTTTATCGATATACTTTTGATCCTAAGCACTTCATTTGTCGTTCTATCTACTATGTGTATGTAAATTTGTATACCCTAGATAGTTTATGAACACACAAAAATTCTACAATAATTGATATTTAGAGGCCATTCTCTTCACTAAGTGAAAATATTTACACAATAAATCACTATAAACTTTATGAAGGCTTTGTTTTTAGTAAATTTAGATTATGATATGGCTTATTTCATACATTGACATAGATAAATATATATAGCATTCACATATTCTCTTTGATGTCTTATATCTCATTCCTTGGACTTGGATCATCAATGCTGAAAAAGAATCTCATGAAAAATAAAGGGAAACTATCTAAGCTATCATTTTTTAAAAACCATTTTTTCATGTTTATATTAACCACAATTATCTTTGATTGTAAGGCAAATAGACATTTATAATCATAGGTTAAATAATCTAGACTTAAAATTTAATTTTGAGGGGTGGAGTTTTAGGAAAAAGTGTAGAATTTTAATAAAAGTATAAATAAATACTTGAAACTAAAACTTTTTTTTTAAATAACCTCCTTAATGAAATTTCATACTTAGGTAATTTTGAAAATGTCCATTTACAGAAGATAAACATGAATAATGGTATTAAATAGAAGATAAAGGTGATATTCCCTCAAAAATAAAATAACATTTAGAAGAGAAAAACATGTAGAAAAAATTAATATTTAGTACATATATTTGATATTCAAAGAACCTCATGAAAACAATTCTGTTTTTCTCAACTTTTATGAATTCGCAGAAAAATATTCAATAAAAAATGAAATCTTTACCTTTTAAGACGACCTTTACAAAAATAAATTATACATGAAAATCTACATTGTAAATATAGAAAGACGTCTTTGAAAAAAAACAATTATAAAATAACATTTAATATGAAACAGATTGAGTAGATATAGTTATATCTTAAATACAAAAATATTTGTAAAAAAACTCCGGGCGTAGCCTGGGAATAATTTATAGTTATACATGTATATAGATAATTAATTTAAAATTAAATTAAATTTATAATCATATTGGACCGGTGTGACTATTGACCTAATTGCAATGTCAAGTAAATATACAGTTTGGTATTTAAAACATTGATGGCAAAATTAACATTCTATTTTTCTGTTTTTAATTATAAATTCAATTATACAATATATAATATATAAACAATATAATTAGAAAATTTGTATAAGAAATTAGCCGCGCGTAGCGCGGCCAAAAGATCTAGTTCTTGTAAAATTTCTAATAACATCTATAAAGATGGCGTAGTATAATAGTATTCCTCGTGTTGTAGTGAATAAACCTAGTCTTCAGTTTTTATAAAATTAATTGAGTAAGAATCATACATAAGAAATCTAATTTTTTGAACTTAGGACAACAATACGTTATAGACTCGTATAAACACTATTTTTTTTTTTTATAAATAATATCCAGTTATGATTAATTTCAAAAAAGGAGGTGGACTCTCATCCAATGAGCTTAAATTCTAAAATAATAATTTGATCTACGAAGGAACTACGAAATGTTAAAACCTTCTGTAATCTTCATGAACTATCAAATCAAAGCTAATATACACTACTCTTTGGTATTGTTTCTTTTACTAACATTACATCCGTAATAGTTGTTGAAACTGTAGTCTACTAAAAGCAAAAACTCAAAAGCAAATATAACAATCTGCAATGTACCAAGCTGCATATGTTAGATAGTACATCGACATAAAAAAGCAATACACATATATGCTATTGAATCGTTTGGAATTGTAGAAAGTACATAGTGCGAAGGCTTTTATTACTCTCGAGATCAAGATGGCCAAAAACTGTCCACTTCTAGAATAAATGAAGTATGGATCTTGGTGAGAGAGATGGCCTAATAATACATGAGCTTCATGAGATGATCAGATTGGGATAAAATGATCTTACCGTCGCTGATTGACATACAGTAGACGAAATATGATGTAAAGGGCTGCTTGATTACCTAAATTGCGACAAATGGTAATTACCATGGAAGTTCCCACCAAGACTACGATAAGAAAAGCTGATTTAAAACTACAATTTCGATCTATAAAGCTTGTGAAAGAAGAGTTAGGCAAAATTTGAGATGCATCTCATCAAGAGCCCCGCATCAGCCGCATCCTGATTCGGAACCAAAGCAAAACTTACATGCCTACAGAAAAAAGCATAAAAACATAGATCCCTCTTGCAATAGTGAAATTCAACGATTTACATCAAACACCACATATGCTGATATGCATCTGAAAACAAATGAAATCTCAAATAGGAAACCACTGTGCTATATACTTTCTCCACTGGCATCTGCATTTAGTACGTAGACCATGTACTTTATGAGTGAAAGAGAGTGATGCTCCAAAATATGAACGACATATTTTTATATAAACCTATGTTCCTTTAGACAACCAAGAAGGGTGGATGATGAAAGTTGATAGAAACTAAAAAAAAAGAGATATTATAAACTTACCAAACAGGGAATTTTTATGTTAGGATCAAGTTTGATACCAACTCCAATTGAAATATTTCTCAATTGCTCTTAACTTGGTGAATGGTTTGGCACTTGTAAGATCTTTAACGCCTTGTAACATAGAAAGATCCTTCCCACCATGTTTGTTAAGGAAAGACTATCTTGTTTTAACATGTGAGAAGACCTAAAACACGTACAACTAGAATTTAGAAATAGTATTCAAACCAAACCATTTGCTTTTTACCCTCTGCGTTTAAAGACGCACTGCGACACATTGATGGCCCAGCTACTAAACAAAGAACCATGCCCCTCTACTATGAATTTCTCGGATACAAACTAACGCTTTATAGAGGTCGAACATGTTCCCGTAAATCTGAAGAGCATAATATTATTTTTGGTTAAGTGAAGCTGGAACTATTTTTGGTTAACTGAATATGAAACTAACAAACAAAAGCAAGCTAGTGGGACATGCCTTTCGTGTAGCTTCATCCACGGAGCTAAAGTTCCCAGTATCTTAGACTTTCCTTAATCCCCATGGGCCATGGCAATAGCTGCACTATGTGAGAAAAACAACTTTATTATATTAAATATTCATTAATAGTTAAAAGTATTCATTAATACTTAGCTAAAAATAATTTATATGTGTATAATCTAACTGTGTATGCATTAATGTTATGTAAAATTAGAATTAAATAATAGTACATAAATAGTAGTTACCAGTTTTTTATTTAAAATTAAAGATATTTATTAAATTGTGGTAAATCTAAGCTACACAGATAATATTTAAGTGGAAAATAATGTATTGTTTAAAAATATTACGTGTATTTTGAGTGGCTTTTTGGAATATTAGATATAGTAGGTATTAAAAAGTCCTTTTTTGGTTCGGGCCGTTAGTTGTAGGGAGATACCAATAATAATGTGGATTTTGGTTTGTAAGAAGAAAGTGATTTTAGAGAATCAAAAACTAGTTTCCCTAAAAAATAAGAAATCTATATGATCAAAATCATGATTGGCTAAAAATGGTTTTTGAAAAACCAAAAACCACTTCAAAAACTGTAAATAATCAACCTTATAAAGGTGCTCTATAAAAAGAGTTTAGTTATAATGTTTTTAAAGGTTGAAATATGTCAACCTTTTGAAATATTTTAACATATCTTTTGAAAGTTTAAAAGGATTATTTAATAAATATCAGTATAATTTATATATTTTAAAACAATCTTTAAAAGTTATCAATATGCCTTTAATGACCTGGAAATTTCAACTGCACATACAGTCTTTATGTATCAGTAAATTATATGGATCATTTTTTGTTCCATATTCGTTTGCAACTATATAACCAGAAATAATGTTATAGGATTATTTGTTAACATGTCATCATTAAAGACATACCAAGGTATAACCAAGAAAAATAATATGTAAACCCAATATTTTCTTAACAACTTTTTGTAACCTCCATGAAAATAAAACTTGGCAAAGTTCATGTGGGCTTTGCAAAACACCTTTATTCTTCCAACTACCTTGCCATGTGATACCCTTTTCTTTTCTCCACAATAATTAGCACCAAATGTACTCCTCGCGGTCCAAAACATAAAACTAGTTACAGAATTAACAAAATTGTTTAATGCATGAAAAGAGATGAACGTAACATGCATCATAAAACATCAATCATCCATGCAAGAAAAACATGAACACTCCCAATTATCTCTCTCACTTCAAACTTATATAAACCTTACATTACTTACACAACCCAACCAGCATTTGATACAGTATGATGATCATCAAGTCATTAATATATGTCTTATTCTTCTTCCTCGTTAATTCTCTTCATCAGGTTCTTGGTCAATATAGCCAACTAAACACAACTTCCTCATGGCTAAAGAACCACACCACACTTCCACTGGATAAACCACCAAAGCCGCCGATTTGTAAAATTATTGCTTGCAAGCGGTCCGGACCACCAACGGCTAGAAAGAGATGCTGTCGTAACCAATGCGTTGATCTCTTGTCTGATCCAAACCATTGCCGGTTCTGTTTCAAGAGATGCCGGTTTGCTTTGTCTTGCTGCAATGGAAAATGCGTAGACACTAACAATGATCCTTCTAATTGTGGACAATGCGGTAACAAGTGTGATCCTGGTGCGCCTTGTGAATTTGGTATGTGTGGTTATGCTGCTCCGTCGCCTCAGCCTAGAAAACGTCCTCGTCATCCTAAACGGCCACGTCCTCCTCCGTCACCGAAAAGTGACGGTGAGTTTCATGATGACCGTGATGATGCTGAATAAATCGTTACGTGAAGAGAACATGAAATTGAGTGTTATTGTTGTTCTTCATTGATTAGTAATTATCGTGTGTTTTCGAGTTCATTTTTTCAATGAATATTAATAATTTTGTGTTAGTTGAGTTTGTGTGGTTTGTGTTTCGAGTTCATCATGCTTTGTATGGTGTCGTTTGTAATGTTATATGATCTGTCCAGTTGTTAATTATTGTTGATTTACAAATGAAATATCAATTAATATTATTCATTTAGAAGGTTCTTTTTTCATTCTATTTTTTAGTTTCTCAAAACAATAACCATTAGAAAATTGAAACATGTTATGTATGTAACTATATATTAATTGTTGTACAATTGAATCGGGAGATCTTTTTGTGTGCTTTATGGCCTTACTGGTTAAGATTGTATCTTCATTTAAAAAAAAAAATAGATTATAAGCTGCAAAAGTATTTCTATGGCAGTAAAAAAAGTTATGTAGAATTTTGGTCATAGATTGTAGTTTTTACTTTTTTCCTTTTTTGGATAACAAGGTGTATCCTAGCTTCCATGGATCAAAATTAGCGGCAAGTATCTTTAATAGTCTACGTTATCGATCGAAGTAAACCCTCAGTTATCGAATAACCCTGAGGTTATTCGATAACATTTATAAGATGAAGTTCTTGGCTATTTATTTGACGTCTTAGACTGGTTGTTGCCAAGTAAGATGGTGATGGTCAGTAGATTTTTCTGATGTGCAGATTGGATCAGACTAGTATTATCTTTGATGGGTTCTCGTCAGGCAGAGCAAACAGAGATAGGTGTTGTTGCGGTGGAGGTGTACGAGAGGATCGACGGTGCGAAGCAGATGATGGACATGAGTAACAACAACTATGATCTCTAAAAACAAACTTGTGTTGAGAATGCTTTACATATTTTTTTTTAAGAACCATAATTAAGAGACTTGCAATAAACCATCTAAATGTTCAAATCTTTTTCTAAGTCTCTTAACTCACTTTTACACTATAAAAACTATTAAAAAATAAGTAAGAGACCCTTTAAGAGGTTTAGGGATAATGGTGCTCTTATAAATTTTCCAAACCAACATATTAATTTTTTATATAATTGTATTTTATAGCCAGAAAGAAAAAAATAGGAAACTGTAATTAAAAAAATCTGGAGTAAAACATGATCGGAAAGTCCCCTATATATTAATCGTTGAGCATTACAACATGTTTTCGTAGCCACGTGTCACCATCAAAATAATTCTCAGAATCTTTACAAAAACAAATTGGTCCATATAACTATATATAATATTTTTTATTAAACTAGCTATCAAATTAGTTATTAATATACAAAAAATATTACTTCTTTCCTTAAATTAAAACTACGGAAATACCTAATATGATTAACATATATATGAAAATTAATGATTATGAATACTACATATATTATAACAATTTTTGTATCCTTTCTCTTTTTATTTGTTTAATTTTATATTATTAAAAATAATTAAACAATCAAATTAAGTTTATAATAAAAATTTAGATTTCTTTCTTATATATTGTATTTAGAATTTTCTGAAACGACTATAATTACTAAAAATTGTAAAAGTTCCACATTGAAATTTTCTGATCAATAGTTTAACTTATTTGTTAAGCAAGATACTATTGAATAGAATTAATCGTATGAATATAAAGCTTCATTAATAGATATTTGTATTATATCTATATATATATCTATATATATCTATATATATATATCATTTAAATTAAATTATATACTATAGAAAATATATAAATATGTTAATTTCAAAATTTTCCAGTGAAAATTTATTGAAATCTTAATATTTTAATTTTGAAGTTCATATTGGAACAATCTCACATTAAATATTTTTTGATTTATTTAAAAGTTGTTAGAGCAAAATATACAAATGTTAATAAACAAATATGAGTAGGAAGTGTCAATAATAAATATATATTAAAATATTTTATATGTAGGTTTAATTATATACTATATAAAGTAAATATAATGGTTGTTTTGATTTATTTACCAAAAACATGATGTAAATTAACAAAATGTATAAGTTTTGATTTATGGGCTTACTGATGTATAAGTTTTGATTTATGCGCTTACTGTAATATATATGCTTTTATGTATATAAATTAATTTTTAAATAGGTTATTTCTAATATGTTATTTTATTATGAAAATCCGAGAATTTCTTTAAATCGAAGTGATTTTTAATATTAGAAGCACTATATATATATATATATATATATATATATATATATATATCTATTATTTCATTCAAATTAAATAATTTAGTTTTGATATTTATTCCTAAAAAGTATTTAATGAAATATCATGACAAGATGCCAATCACCTCTTTTTAAGTTTGTTAGAAGAATGAGAGATTTGATCATTCATCTAATATTTGTTTCTCCACAATACCCAATCTAGCTAATATAATTTATCCGAACAAGATTTATGATCTTATTCGAAGTAGATCTGAAAATATTTGAAATTAGTATAATATGTTAATGATTTTTTTATATGTCAAGGTAATTGAGATATTTTATTGTATTCAAAAGATTTTGTAGTTTATTTTATTTTATTTTTATGTTGAATATCCTTTTGTTAGTTTAGATAGTTTAACTAATTTTAAATTAGATTTATGAATAAATTAAATATTTTGACATATTGTTTTTCAATTTTGAGGTTTCAAAAATATTTTTTGTGACGATTTCAGATTTTGGTTACAATCCGATCTAAACCGAATCCGATCCGATAATTAGTAAAATCTGAATGAGACTGAAGAGCATAATACCAAAATTTTGAAAATCTGAGGCAACTGAACCAAAACCGACGAACCCCCAAACGCCCACACATATGATATATTTAAGAGACCAACATTTATATTCATCATTTTACAATCGATAAAGATTATAATGCTATAAAATGTTTTTCTTACAACAATAAGCCGAACTGTGATTCTCTACCGGTTAAACAAAACGGAGGCAATGAATCGACATATAACATAGCAGAAGGGGAACTCCTAGCACCTCGTGTGAGCTTGTTAATATCACTCAAATTACTCTAAGGAGTGAATTACTCTCTCAAATAAGAGGTTCAATTGTAGTACTTAGGGATCGAATCCACAAGAAGCTAGTGCACACAATAGATATAAACAGTTTATGCTAGGCTAATAATTTATAAAGCAGTAAATAAAGCAAGAAATTAATAAAACAGTAAACAATATAAACAAGACAATTGTTCAGCTTGGCAGAGAGTTGTTTGATGGAAAGATAGTTTGTTAGATCTAGGATTTCTATTCAGGAAATCAAGATTATAATGATATAGGTTACTAAGCTGCTAGATATATTAGAACTCAACTTGGAGTATAAATCTAACAACCTCTATTGTATAGATAGTCTAATATCTAGATCTTGGATCTCAACTTCTGTTTATGGATCACAAGAAAGTGTCGATCGATTATTCTATAATAATAGCGATCGATACACCTTTCACTCCGCCGATCGACTATCCTATTGGGATATCGATCGACGCATTTCTAGTTAAGCTTTACGATCGGATTGAATATGTGTTCACTAGGGTTCCTAAATCAACTTTCATATGCACCTAGCAACCCTAGCTCAATAGGATTAGTTTCATGACAGTATCTCTAGAAAATCCTAAGATCAAGTTTCTAGGTAGCAATTCTAGAACACAAGCATTAAGAAAATCCTGTCAATGAATATCACAACTAGCAAACCTATAGGCTGGGCTAATCCTTCATAACCTATCTGAACCCTAAATCTAACAGGTGAATCTATTCAGACATGAAGTTTGTCACAGAAACCATAGATGAATATATATAAAATAGAAAAACAACATATTTAAAAACCAAAGAAACCAAAGGAATTCCAGGAGGTCTCTGATAGGAGTTTCAGGAGGACTCTGATAGGAGTTCCTCCCTTCTCTCCTAGAGCCTATAACAATGAAAATAAAGCTAGGTAATGTCTAGCCGTCAACAATGGCTTGTAAATAACATAAATAAGGTTTCTGGTTGTCAGGGGCATTCTGGTAATTTGAGTTTCTTCTGGGCTTAAGTTGTTCTTGAAATATACTCAATCCACGTTCTGTGATCCATATCGATCGATACAAGTAGTTCTGCATCGATCGATTTTCCTTTATCTTCTCGACAGCTTCCTCTCACGAGGCAGACATACCACTCTTCAGTAATATGGGCATAACTTTTGTTACAGGATGCTGATTGACCTCAAACCAGTGGCATTGGAAAGACAACTAAAAGATATTTTTTGTGTCAAAATATGGGCTCAATCTAACAGTAAGAAGGTTTCCATCCATAGCTAAACATCTGACACGTCTGTGCAGTTTTGCGCTCAAAAGACATCAAAATCACCATATTTCTCCATAAGGTAGGTGAACCTGTAAATAATCTAAAAAGACTCCCAAAAATAATAATTATATCTTAAAATAATTATATACTAATACCATGGCTGAAAGTGGGTAAAATCCATGGTATATCACTTGCCAGGCACTCAATTACAAGCTCTCGAAATATGTCGGATCTTGAAGATAGGGAAGAAAGTCTTACTGCACTGGAACTCCTCCAAGTGTGTAGGAAAATATGGCCATTCGTCAGGTGAGGACACCATCTTCACCAGTTGAGAACAGTCTGTTTCAAAAACTACATCTGAAAAATTAAGGGTATTCATACACTCCATAACTAATATCAAAGCTTCACATTCTGCATGTAGAGCAATTAAGCTTCTTCAGAGATTCATTGTCCCCATCATCTTCTCAGCTGAACCCACGCTCTACAGAACCATCATTGTCCTGAGAACTTTTCTTGTGCCCTCACATGCATCGTCAACAAAACATATCCTTAGAATAGTCAAAGGATTTTCAATCCAAAGTCGTAAATTCCGACTGCTGCCTTAGCGAGACACTAAGTTAGGCTTCTGCCCATACTGTTGCTTCCACTTCCGCTATCCGAATTATTTCCTACGGATTACCTTTCCTGTTGGTATAAATCTTTTCATTTCCGTTCTTCCAAATATAACATAATATCCAAGGGGAGAAACTAAATTCACAATCCTTTGGAAGTCTCCAAAACAGATAATCCATATTAGTAAACCCCGAAAGAGTTGGGAAGATATCCATGGGAGAAGGAATTCTCGACAAAGCCCATGTTTTATTGGGCCGAAGGACATTAAAAAAGCACATGATTAATGGACTATTCCACAGCACCGCAAATGCTACAGCATGTATCACAAACAATACCTCGTTTCCTTAGATTTTCATTCACTGGAATAATGCCCTTTTTCGCTTGCTAGATAAAATGTCTCAGATTTGGTGGACGTTTAAGTTTCCAAGTAAATCCTAATAAAATATTAATATTCGGCCTGTAGGTAACCACTTATTGTTCCTCATCTGGATATAGAGATTCTATCTTGTAACCTGATTTAACAGTGTATTTACCCATTTATGTGAATATTCAACCATAGGAATTTGGTCTATGAGACCGACTGATGGCCAAACCTTTAATGATCTGTACATCATTCGAATGTATGTAAGCAATAAGCAAATCTACATTCCATATGAAGAATTGCCCAAGTTGATGAGATGTTTCACCTTTAAGGAGTGGTTTAAAAACTGTGGTTGATTTTTTTAGTTTTGCTGACCTAGGGCGAGGAGCTGAGATGTACAGATAATTCCATACAGTGACTAGTGTTATAAAATTTTAAAACCGAACAAACATTAATATAAAAATTTATTTTACGTATGCGCGCGAATATCATCTAGTATTAGTGTCGTAGAAACATTGCATTGATAAAAAGACTTACAAGACCTTCCAATCATGCTCATTAAACCTGAT